AGCATGGATGCAAGCCACGGAAATTGACTTGTTGCTTCCATGAGCTTCCCGGCCGTCTGGGAGCTGCTTATATAGTAAAACAATCATTGAACTGCTGGAAGCCTTTCATTCTGTCAATACTCAGGGCTAGCTGATCTGATGTTTCTGCGGGCAGCATTCAGGCGATCTTCTGACCTTTGCTTCATAAGTCTTTGATGAAGTCTAGCCCTTACCCTGGCTACTGGGGGAGGAGAATCTGGTGGCAATTCAGCTGTTTGTGCTTCTAATAGCTCACCATTCACTCAGCTGCACTGCAGCTAACCCCTCAGTTTCCAGATCTTCAGCTGAACTCATTGAGGTGGACATCCAGTCTTGGGAAGGATTTTAAAAAGGCCATCTCTGCTAACCAAATCAAAGGCCTTTGTGAGATCTATGAAGGCCACAAAGAGTGGCTGTTGTTGTTCCCTACATTTCTCCTGCAATTGTTGGAGGGAGAATACCATGTCAGTGGTGGATCTATTAGCTTAAAATCCACACTGTGTTTCTGGATAGACTCTGTCTGCAAGCACCTGGAGTCTCTTCAGCACAATACGGGCAAGCAGCTTCCCTATAACGCTGAGAAGAGAGATACCATGGTAGTTATTGCAGTCGCCCCTGTCTCCTTTGTTCTGATACAATGTGATGATGTTTGCATCCTTCATGTCCTGTGGTACTCCACCTTCCCTCCAGCAATGCCAAAAGATTTCATACAGCTCGGTGGTGATTATCTCTTTACAGCACTTCAGCAGGGATATTATCCTTCCCATTGCCTTGCTGGAGGCGGGGGAATCCAAGACCACTTTTATTTCTGCTAAAGTTGGTTCACTGTCCAACTCTTCCAAGACAGGCAAGCACTTGATGTTATTTAGTGCCTCTTTGGTTAGTACATTCTGTCTGGATTATAACTCAGAGTAGTGCTGCACCCAGCATTCCATGTGCTGTGCTCAGTCCTGAATGATCACGCCTGTAGCAGACTTCAAGGGAGCAGATTTCTTCTGCATTGGACCTAAAGCCTGCTTGATACCATCATACATTCTGTTGATGTTACCTGTGTCCGCTGCTATCTGTACCTGAGAGCAGAGCTGAAGCCAATAATTGTTTGAACATATCCTGGCACCCTGTTGGACTTTGCTACAAGCAGGTTGAAGAGCCTGCAAGTTGTATTCACTAAGACAGGCTTTGGCTTGCATCAACTCCTCCGAATGGGCTTCACGCCAGTGCCAGTCTGCCATATTTTTTGGTCTTCTTGCCAAATGTGGACAAAGTGGACAAATGTGGACAAAGTTCTAAACAGCATTCTTGAAATGTTCCCATCATTCAGGTGCATTTGCATCAGACGGGCCTGGAAGGGTTTTCTCAAGCACTTGGGCAAATTCCTCCACTTTCTTTGATCGCAAGTCTTGCTGATGTCAATATGTGGTCTTCCTTCCTTTTTCGTGTGATACAATCTCTTTGTTCGCATTTTTACT